GTTTGCTCCCTGTGCTCCTTCTCAAACTTCAAAAATCACAAACTGCAGCAGATTATTTAAGGTTTCAGGAAGATATGGCAGAATTAGGACCGAATGATAGCAGATATCAGCCCTCGAGCTGGGGAGGTGGGAATGCAGCTGGTGGTTGAGAGTGTGTCCAATCCTTGTGGGAACAGTCAGTTTCCATCTGTAGGAGGGAGGGCCTGTAGTGAGCCAGGTCTTGCTGCTCTCTCTTTGCAGCGCTGGGCAGCCATGCAGAGGATGCAGGAGGTCGTTGGGCGGGCGAGAGCCGCCTTCAACTCGGGCCGGTGCCGCTCGCTGGAGTTCAGGATGCAGCAGCTGAAGGCCCTGGAGCGGATGGTGCAGGAGAAGGAGGAGGAGATCCTGGCAGCCATCAAGGCAGATCTGCACAAGGTGTGGGCTGGGGGGAGGTTTCTCCCTTCTGCTGTGCCTGGACAGCGGTCAGCCCTGGAGGGCAAGCGGGAGGGCCAAGGGCTGCCTTTGCTGTGCCACGTGGCTTTTGCTGATATCCCCCACGGTCCCGGCTCTGCCCGTGTCGCGCCAAGGTCTGCTACTGCCATTCCTGAGAAGGAGCTAGTCTAAGGCAGGTCCTGGCTGCCAGGCTTTGGCTTCTACTGGAAGCCCCGCGCACCCAGACTGACCATCTTCTCTCGGGGATCCTTTGGGGCAGCATGACCAACCTCAGATACTTTGCACCAGCAGAATTTACCTTGCTTCCCTGGTCTGCTGTAGCGGGTGTAGAAGATGGGTGCCTTCACCATCCCTTCCCAAGCTTCCTGTTGTTGCAGAGTGGACACAATGCATACAGCCATGAGATCCTGGGCGTTCTGGGGGAGCTGGCCCTGGCCATGGACAAGCTGCCGTCCTGGGCAGCCCCTCAGCCTGTGAAGAAGAACCTGCTGACGATGCGGGACGAGGCCTACATCTGCCTCGAGCCGCTGGGGGTGGTGCTGATCATCGGGGCCTGGAACTACCCCTTTGTCCTGGTCATGCAACCTTTGATCGGGGCCATCGCAGCAGGTGGGGACCCGCCACAGCTCCTCTCCTTTGTGGGTCCGCGGGTGGGTGCTGCAGGAGGCAGGGGAGGAGAGCGAGGGCTCAGCGGCCGTGCTGCGTTTTTCTTGTAGGCAATGCCGTGGTGGTGAAGCCGTCAGAGATCAGCGAGAACACGGCTCAGCTGGTGGCTGATCTCCTCCCCCAGTACCTTGACCGGGTGAGTTAGTGCTTTCTCTAGGCAGGGGGCAAGTTGAGGAAGGAGGCAGCCCTCAGGAGAGCCTGGTGCTCATATGTCTCCTTGGTCTTAATGTGTGGTAGCAGCTCCACAGCCTGTATCAGCACTGGCCTCAATCTTCATTTTGTTTAGTTCATGTGGCATAAAGTGGCAAGTGAAACTGTTTCAGGGGACGGAGCAGAGCTTCCCTCTGTTATCGATATCCTTTGTCCAGCTCCTATCGTAATGCACAAGTGAGTGCCCACCATGCAAAGCTGCTGCCTTGACAGATTTCCTTTAAATCAAGGTAACTGTAACGCTCTTTTTTGCCCTGCAGGAGCTGTATCCTGTGGTCACTGGAGGAGTACCTGAGACAACAGAGCTGCTGACGCAGAGATTCGATCACATCCTGTATACCGGCAACTCCACAGTGGGCAAAATCGTGATGGCAGCAGCCGCCAAGCACCTGACGCCCGTCACCCTGGAGCTGGGTGGGAAAAACCCCTGCTACATTGACAAGGACTGTGACCTGGCTGTTGCCTGCAGGTCAGGTTGCTGAAGCCCTTGGCAGGGTCTCAGCGGTGGGGCAGGGAGCCATGGGCAGGTGGACGTCTCTGGGCCGTTGTTCCCAGACCGTGGGTGTCACTCAGGCGCTGTTGGCTGGGCTGTGGGGTCTGGAAGGGTCTGGCCATGGAGAAACCATCTCCCTTTCCCCCACAGGCGGATAACGTGGGGGAAGTACATGAACTGTGGGCAGACCTGCATCGCCCCAGACTACATTATCTGTGACCCATCCATCCAGAGCAAGGTGGTGGAGAACATCAAGGCGACCCTGCAGGTGAGCGTGGAGTTCCTCGTGCTGCGGGAGTTGTTCCTGTTACAGCCCAGGTCTGAGTTTCTGAAGCTGCAGCCCTGGAGCTGTGGCTGTTGTGCCGGTGTGTTGAGCGCTTTGGTTCTGCTGTGCCCTTTGGCAGGAGTTCTATGGGGAAGACGTGAAGTCATCTCCGGATTACGAAAGGATCATCAACAAGCGTCACTTCAAGAGGATCCTGGGCCTGTTGGAAGGGCAGAAGATTGCTCACGGGGGAGAGGCTGATGAGGCCTCCTGCTTCATAGGTGCTTCTGGCAGCTTTGGGGAGGGGAGGTGGTAGCGGGTGCCTTTTGGGGGCTGAGGGTGTCTGTGGCTTGTTTGGTGTGTGTTGTACGCAGACGGTGCCCAGGACGAGGTCCTGCAATGGACCGCGTCTTCTGTCCGGCTCAACCGTCTCCTTCCCGCCTGTTTGCCTCAGCACCGACTATTCTCACCGACGTTTCTCCAGAGTCAAAGGTGATGGAGGAGGAAATCTTTGGACCGGTCCTTCCCATTCTGACTATGAAGAGCGTAGACAAAGCCATTGAGTTCATCAACCGTCGGGAGAAGCCCCTTGCCCTGTATGTCTTCTCCAACGACAAGAAGGTGGGTCGGGGCTGTGCTCCCCTGTGGAGGCTTCTCTGCTCAGGTGAATCCTGAACGTGGCCGGTCCCAGGCACGGCTCCCCGCAGGACCTGTGTCGTCTCCTCTTTGGATGTGAATCACAGCGTTTGGCTCACGGGGGCTGCGAGTGTCCCCAGAGCTGGTGGAGGCTCCCAGCCTCCTGCTGGAGGACTCTGTGTTTGCATGACTTTTGTTAAATAGAAGGATAAAAAGCTGAATTTCCTCGTTGGTGCCATGTAGTCTTTCATGGTTAATTTAGTTACTTGTAATATATTGCTACGGAGGCGAGCTCCCAGGTGTCCGTCTTTGCCATCCCTCCTCTGAACTTTCCCACTTTCCTTGACTTAACGCTGCACAGAGAGGGCTTGTCTGAGTTGTCTGCGAGAGAAAGTGAACACGATGGCCTGTTGGCTCGTAGCTCCCCTCCCAGTCCTGCTCAGGTGCGTGGTCTGGTCTCTTCTGGGCCTTTGTAACAGTTTTCTTTGGTTTTTTTCTTTTGCCAGTTAATCAAAAGAGTTATCTCAGAAACCTCCAGTGGGGGTGTGACTGGAAATGATGTCATCATGCATTCTGTCCTCTCAACCTTACCCTTTGGTGGTGTTGGTAAGTTACTGGAGCTCCTTAAGTGTTGTGACTTGCTGCGCGGTGTGACCCAGGGAACAGCAGCTGATGGTTTGTGTCTCCCTGTTACAGCTGAAGGGTCTCTGTATAGCAGATCTCAATAATAATAACAATTATTATTTCTGAGAGTACATGAGGGCAGGGGCCAAAAGGGAGAAAACTTTGGGTGTGTTTTTGGGAAGACTGAAGCATTTAGTGCAGACTGATGTGAAAGGTGCTTTAAAAACACGAGCTGCGACTGGAGTGATTGCAGTAATTGCAGGAGGAAGGGTAGGACTTCAGCTTGGGGAGGACTGGAACAGGCTACAGAACAGCCTTCGGGAGCTTTGCAGAAGAGGGTTTGGGTGTTTACAGCGCTCGCAAGCTGACAGTGAACCAGCAGCGTTGTGCTGCTGTGAACAGCGCACGCTGTCCTGGAATTGAGAAACGGAGGTGTACCCTGCAAAGCTCCTCAGGAAACCCTTCTCACACGGCACCGGTCGGATCTCAGAGCCTCGGCACGGTGCTTTGAGAGGGAGCTAAATCTAGGGAAGAGGTGGGGATGGGCACAGCGAGCAGTGCCCGCAGGAAGACAAGGAAATACTGGCGAGTGTGTAGCGAAAAGGCGGTGGGGCAGAAGAGGGGTGGAGTACAGGTGGACATCTTGGAGCCTGAGAAGTGCTGCAGAGAGGAAGGATCAGTTGTCCTCTCTGCAGGCACGTGGAGGAGAAGTTGTGCTTTTAAACTGGGGCGAGGCAGATGGAGGGCAGGTAACGTGCAGCGCAGCTGGCAAGCAGCTGAAATTTTCCTGTGCTGCTTCTTGCCCTGCTGGTGGCCCCAAGCGGCCAAAGGTTTGACTGGCTGAGCCTGCAGAGTGACCTGCCTGGGTTGTGTCCCTCAGGTAACAGCGGGATGGGCGCCTACCACGGCAAGCACAGCTTTGAGACCTTCTCCCACCGCCGTGCCTGCTTGATCAAGGACCTGAAGATGGAGGGTATGAACAATTTCCGTTACCCACCTAGCAGCCAGAAGAAGGTGGACTGGGCCAAGTTCTTCCTCTTGAAGCGATTTAACAAGGGCCGAGTGGGACTGGTCGTCTTGGCCCTGCTGGGGATTGTGGCAGCGGTGGTGATAAAGGTGAGCTTTGGGTCTTGGCCCTCCGCGTGAGTGCATGTGCGATTCATCTGACCTTCTGCAAGTTCACCCTTTGCGGCCGCAGCCCTTTCTTAGCTGTTCTTTCTGTCGTGAGGCTTATGATATCTGGCCCGCCTGAAATTATCAAGATCTGCTTCTCGCTCTTGCAAGTGGTATCTAGAACAGAAATGTACCCCGAGAGATGTCCTAGGCTGCTGTAGGATTTGTTGCCCTGCCTTGGTAGGGGATGCCGGTGAGAAGCTCCCTCCAGAGGCAGAGGTTGGTATGTTTTGGCGAGGTGAGGAGTGGTTTCGACTCCAGGCCTTTCTTGAGCAGCATTGTGAGCTGCTCCACACGCAGCCTAGGCCAGACGGCTGCAGTTCTGAGCCATGGTGCCCTGGGAAGGGAGGCTGTGTCCTAACGCCTAGGGCTGTGAGGAGCTCTTGTTCCTCGCCCGGTTGCAGCCGCCATCTGACCTTAGCTCGGTTATTTCTGCTTCCTCCCTGCTCCTGACTGGCTAGTGCGGAAGGGTGGGATGTCCTCCCCTCTCTGCAGGAGGCAGAAGCCTGCTGGTGCTGGCTGGAGGACTCGAGACGCCTCCCGATGTGGAGGGGTAAGATCTAAAAGTCCAAGCGTGATCGCTGGTGGTTCTCCGTGGCTGGCAGACCAGGCACGATGCGCAGCTGCGCCGGCTGCTGCTTGCAAGGATGGCAGGGTGGATGAGGACTCTCCCCTTCAGTCTGTTCTGTGTAGCGACTCCCGCGAGGAGACGAGACGTGCAGGAGCCCAACAAGCCAGGGGAAAGAACCTGCCTGCTTATTTGGGTGCAGGAGGAGGTGTAAGAGCCAACAAGCGGCTGAGGCCTTGAAGCCCCAGCCAGGGAGGCAGCCCCTGTCTAGGTGAATGCCTTCTCGGCGAAGGGGGGAAACTCACGGCGTCTTGAAATGATTTGGGTTTTCTCAGAATCACCAGTCTGTGCTGAAGAGAAAAGCTCTCTTGATTGTGCTGGCTGTTCAGAGGCTGGGCTGGCTGAGTGTGTGGTAAGGAGGAGCAGGTTTCAGAGCACTGCTGTGGCTGTCACAGTGAGGTAGGAGCCTTTTTCTTCTCCTGCGTGTAGACGTGGTTTGAGATGGGGCAAAGTCTTGTCCGAGGAGTGACTGTGGGGCCTGCAGAAGGTTCGCCCTGGAGCCGGAGAGCGATGCTTTCCCCGGCAGTGCTCGGAGCTCGCACAGCGTCCGAGATAACCGGTCCGTGCATGCTGAGGGGGCAGGAGAGCGGCGAGCTGGACCCTGGGGAAGTCACCCTGAGCGAAGGAGCTTTGCTTCAGGCTGTTCTAGAAGGGGAGTTGGTTTTGTGTCAGCAAATCCTTCACAGGACGTTGGTGTTGTGTTTTGCTTTCACAGATGGTTTGCTGCTGAAGAGCGGAGAAGGCGCCACGTGCAAGTCATACTCCGAGTGCTCGCTTTGTGTCTGTTCCTTTAAGCTGAGAAGTCATTTTTTTCTTTCGTACTGGGTCGTTTCAGTGGGCTGTTGAGCGCACAGAGTAGCCTTAGAGAGGCACTAACCAAGAGAAGGCTCGGACTCCTGTTTACTAAAAAGGCGTTCTGATACGGAGGGACCACTGGGTGCAAGCTCTCGAAAGGAGGACTGCAGAGCAAGAAATACCAGTCCCTACGTCCACCCCATGCCACGCAGAGCTCTGCTCCCAGGGACGCGCACGCTGCGTCTCGCGCCGAACCGCTTCCCTTTCTCCAGTGACAAAGAGGAGCTTAAGTTTCAGCTGTGATTGGGTTGACAGTGTTTTCCCTGCAGCGTTCGGGATGGTCTGTCTTCTGCTGTGCCCCGAACAACCACCCTCTTGGTGACGAGTCTGAGACAGGCTGTGCTGGCTGATGCGTGTTACCGATAGCGATGGTGATGAATAAACCTAGTGAGGTTCCCCTTGCCGTTTACTTGAGGTGAAATATTCCTGGATGTCTGCGAAGCAGAGTCGTCCACAGCTGGTCAGGGGATGCAGGCTGACGCCCTTTTTGGGGCTCTGGGTTTCATCGTGTGCCTGTAACCGTTATCTGGCAGTTAGCAAATTCCAAAGACGCTACCTGCACTGCCTGTGTTTTGCTGCTAAGAGTGTCTCGGGCTCATGGAAGAGAACTTTCAGGCCTCCTGTTTAGAGAAGTGGGAATCACAAAGTACCCTGTTGTGGGTTAGCCCGGCTGGGCATCTGAGCCCCACACAGCCGCTCGCTCAGTCCCCCAGCGGGACAGGGAAGAGGATCGGCAGTGTAAAAGGGAGAAAACTTGTAGGTTGAGATAAAGCTAGTTTAGTAGGTAAAGCGAAAGCTGGGCGTGCAAGCGAACCAATTAAGGAATACGTGAACTACTTCCCCTCGGCAGGCAGATGTTCAGCCATCCCCAGGAGAGCAGGGCTTCATCGCACGTATCGGTGGCTTGGGAAGACAGACGCCGTAACTCGCACTGTCCGCTCCCCACCTTCCTCTTCTTTCGCCCCCCAGCTTGTATGGCTGAGCATGACGTCCTATGGTCTGGAATATCTGTCGCTTTGGTCAGTTGGGGTCAGCTCTCCCAGCCGTGTCCCCTCCCCGCTTCTTGCCAACCCCAGCCTACGCGCTGGCGGGGCGGTGTGAGAAACAGAGAGACCTTGACGCTGTGCAAGCACTGTTCAGCAACAGCTAAACCACGGGTGTGTTACCGACACGGTTTTCGTCACAAATCCAAAACACGGCACCATCCTAGTGGGAAGACACTTGGCGACTATGATGAAAATGAACTCCATCCTAGCCAAAACCAGTACAAACCCCTTCCTGGTCAGATTCCTCCAAGGGAAAACAATTACTGAAAGAGCGTGTACTCCTTTGTGTTTGAGCTTCTGGGTCTGCCGTAATCTTGCACTGGGAGATAATATGGGGCTTGTCCTGGCTTGGGGAGAGGATGCTGGAGAAATTTAAGGTGAATGGACCTTAGAAATCTTAACGTTTAAATAAGGAAAAATTAAAAATGATTCTTAAATGCAATTACTCACAAGAGAGTAGAAGATTACATTTACTGCGCAATAGGTGGGGGTTCTTCATGTCTGTTGAAAATCCATGTGCTAAGCCTTTCTAATGATCTATTTTGCAAGTACTAAATAAACACTGAGAATTTAAGTAATAAACCGAGCGTGTAAGTCCCTGCAGCGTCCTGGGGAATCCTGCCCACCCTCTGCCGCTCCTGGCTCTGGCCAGGGCTTGGCCAAACACAACACGTGTGTTGCGAGGTGCCTCTGCCCCAGCACAGGAGCGTGGGTCCCACCGCGATGACCTGCTCGTGGGGAAGGATCCGTCAGAGCTCTGGCAGGGGAGCACAGGCTGGCTGCCAAAGAGGAGCCTGGAGACGGGCAGGTTGTGGGGCAGGGCGGTGCTGGGAGCTGTGGAGGAGCTGGACTGTTTCTTCCATCCTGTCCTGTGCAAATCCATCCCCTGATTGCCCCCCATCTGCAGGTGCTGCCCGTTTGGGGTTTGATGAGATCCGGACAATAGCGTGGGCTGCGTTTGTCGGCTCCCAGCGGCTGCTGTGGCACGTTGAAAGCGATCCCCCAGCCTCACGCGCCCAGCGTGGGCAAAGCCACGTGGGCTCTCGCAATCCCACACGAGCGTTTGAGCTGCTGCTCTGGCTAAACACGGCAATCCAGGGCTTGCGTATTCACAGCGCGGGGATATATCTAGGTAAAGGGCATCTCGTATCGAGCAAGAGCCCTGTGCCTGGGCCAGCTATCCTCTTGTGGGAGGAGAGATCGCTCTGAGCTGTGTCAGGGGAAGGGCTTGCACTGGCTGCAGGAGACTGGTGGAGAGAGAAGCTTCTCCGAAGGTAACTTCCTTTTTTCCTTCGTTTTTTATTGAGTTGTCTCCTTTCTTAGTCAGGATCGGGGCTGTGTCACGCAGCTGCAGTGTCGGGCAGGGAAGGGCACGTTTTGACGGTTGCAAGGGAACCTCGGTGTCTCATTTGGTTAGGCAGGGACTGCAGGCAGATCTCTCGCCCTGACTAAAAAGTGAAAGACTGCTCCCAGGAAGCAGGATGAAACCTCTGCAGTGTTCCGGCGTGTTTCTGCAAAGCCATGCGAGGGCCTTGCAGTTTTGGGAACACAGGTGCAGGCTGGCTCTAGGCGCACAGCTCTGCTTCCAGCCGAGGCCAGGGTCATCTCCATGCTTCGGCTCCTCGGGAGCATCGCTGTGAGCAGAGGGTGGGGTGGCTGTTGGTTTAAGGGTATCCCCGAGCTAGGAGGAAACACCCGCAGAAGAAGATTTCTCGGCTACCCCCAGAGGTGCTGGATTGCCACAAGAGGTGCCCTCCCTTGGTGGACCCTGCGCAGGTAGGATGGGGCATTGGAGGGTGTAAGCCCTGAGCAGTTGCCTGGGGAGCAGGAGGCCACCCACGGAGGAGAACATCTCCGAGCCTTGCTCCGGGTGGGATATCTCTTGGTGGTGGCCCCACATTGACTGTTCCCAGGCCCGAGTAGCCCTCGGCAGGCCCGTAGTGAGCCGGGTCTTGCTGCTCTCTCTTTGCAGCGCTGAGCAGCCATGCAGAGGATGCAGGAGGTCGTTGGGCGGGCGAGAGCCGCCTTCAACTCGGGCCGGTGCCGCTCGCTGGAGTTCAGGATGCAGCAGCTGAAGGCCCTGGAGCGGATGGTGCAGGAGAAGGAGGAGGAGATCCTGGCAGCCATCAAGGCAGATCTGCACAAGGTGTGGGCTGGGGGGAGGTTTCTCCCTTCTGCTGTGCCTGGACAGCGGTCAGCCCTGGAGGGCAAGCGGGAGGGCCAAGGGCTGCCTTTGCTGTGCCACGTGGCTTTTGCTGATATCCCCCACGGTCCCGGCTCTGCCCGTGTCGCGCCAAGGTCTGCTACTGCCATTCCTGAGAAGGAGCTAGTCTAAGGCAGGTCCTGGCTGCCAGGCTTTGGCTTCTGCTGGAAGCCCCGCGCACCCAGACTGACCATCTTCTCTCGGGGATCCTTTGGGGCAGCATGACCAACCTCAGATACTTTGCACCAGCAGAATTTACCTTGCTTCCCTGGTCTGCTGTAGCGGGTGTAGAAGATGGGTGCCTTCACCATCCCTTCCCAAGCTTCCTGTTGTTGCAGAGTGGACACGGTGCGTACGGCCATGAGATCCTGGGCGTTCTGGGGGAGCTGGCCCTGGCCATGGACAAGCTGCTGTCCTGGGCAGCCCCTCAGCCTGTGAAG